AAGACCAGAAGTCTCTGACGAGACTGTAGCTCTACTGGTTTAAACTTATAACAAACAAAGAGAAAAGTAGCTTTAGAAGTTGAAACTTTGCGAGAGCAAAACTTCAGACTTTTTTTTTTCTAGGCAAAACTTTATTGCTAGCAAATCAACACTGTATGAGGAGAGGCATTTTGAAAATATTTCAAAAAAAATATCTATTTTTAATAACCATAGCAACACCTAAATTTCATCGAAACCAAAAAACCCATTAAATAGAGTATCTTAGTGTGGTCTATTTGTCTGCCAATTATATTAAAATCAGACCAATACTGTGCTAGGAGTAACATTTTTTAAATATTGTTAACAAACGGACAGACAACTAGACGGACGGGCAGACGACAGGCACCTTACTATCGCATAAGCTCTTAGACTATAAGAGCTAAAAAAAAAATAAAGAAGGTGGACATTACAGAAAGTTTATTATTTACTCAAAATAAGAATAAAATTAATTTGAGGGCCAAAATTGAATATGACTTGAAACAACTAAACATTAATCTAATCGATCACAAATTGTCCACTAATTTGACATACAAAATATACTTGAAAAATGTAACAATTCAATTGAACAACATACTGTAAACTCATTTAATTTAGCTTTGTGTACTTTCTAGCGCTTTTGGCGGAAAGAAACGCTTGCAAGTTCACTTACTAAATGTCTTGCACTTATATACAATCAGATCATTGAGACATGAGCTAAATCAAATCAACACAAACAATTTCAAAAATCAATTTTCGCCAAACATCGCACATGCTGCATAAAATACGTTTACAATATTGCATACAATGGGGTATATATAGAAAGTTATATATAACACTATCTAAACATTTCGACAAAAGTTGAAAAACACCAGATGATCTAAACATATGTTTAAATATACAATGACATGTTCAAGTTTCAATTAAAAAAAACCTTTATAATAGACTAAAAAATAATGCTAGAAACTGGTGTATATGTATCTTAAAGTAAAATGAATTATAAGCATCGTTTGTATTGTTTTTAGTATGTGATTTAACAAAAAATATTATAACAAATCTTGTAATTCTTTTAAAGATTTATTTTAAAAAGTCTACTTTTTTTATTTCAAAAATTTGTTGCTTTTTTTTATTTTAAACAAATGCAATATCATATCATGCATCATATTAACAAATAATAATATACTATTTCAAGAAAAAAACCATAAGAGGCAATAGGGGACAAAAACTGTAACTGAGCATTCACACAATTTTGCAGCACTTCTTATATGATATAAATTTATGTTTTTTAACGAAACAATTGTAGCATTACAGCCGCGATTTAAAATATTGATGTATGGAATCAAATAATGAAACCTGTTTTTTTTTTTATAAATGTCAAGGATGAACAAGGATTGACAAGTAAAATTTAATGATTGGTAAAAAAGGCATTCTCCTTCAATGAAATTTAGACTAAAATTGTTCCACCTTTGCAGAATGATTAAAAATGAGAGTGCAACTAAACATATTTATTGATCAGATGAAAAATTTATATAATTAACAACAACACATACTGGGTGAAAATTGTTGAAAAATTTCTTTCTGAAGCAATTAAAATTTTAATACATGTATAGACAAATCAAAATTTCAAAACACGTTTAAAACAGAGGGTAGGTGAAACATTGCGTATAATTCTAGGTTATATGCTCTTATTTTCATAATATTTCGATGTACACTGTACGGAATTCCTTTTCACAGAAGATTATCAACTCTCATGTTTATTTGGTTTACTCAGCACTATCTTCCTCTCAACACGTTTTAGGTATTCAAACAAATCTTTGATTTTTCTAAAGTTATTCAATAGTCACCGTGCCATCTTTAGAACCGACACACCCTTTCAGTCTAACATAGACATCAAAACTAAACCGCCATCGTAATAACCTTGTCCAGAGTCACAATTCTCTCTTTTACTGAATCGCACATTCTTTAGTACACGTAACACTTATAAATAAGTGTCGCTTATCCTTAACTTACTGAACATTCGTCTTGTTTAATCTTTAACAGACAGACCATGTTAGAATAACACACTCGCTGAATCTTAATTGACAATAACATCAACCCACACATCCAGGAGAATAATATCATCTCTATAAAATCATCCACCAAAAAACTATGTCCATCAATCATTCTAAACAAAAAAAAATGTTTCGGATAAAATGCAAACTTTAAATCATCAATGGATTCTGCAAAGATAACAGTCTCAATTTTATTAAAAACGAATTCCTCTGTATATATAATTACCATACATGAGTGCTAGCAGAATGCATTAAGGAACTCTTGTAAATGATAATTAGCCCCAGCCTGTAGCAGTTCCTTCAAATATTAAAACTCTAGTTAATATTCATAACATCTCACCCTCATCCGCTGTTACCAGTGGGGTAAGTATCTGACAAAACTTTACTGTTTGATATCAGTCTGCTCCTATAGAAACTACTCATATGTCCACCGACATGATGCTGTCAGTGGAACACGATACCTATTAAGTTCATTGAGACCAGTTCATATCCCTAGAAGCTCCTTCACAACACTCGTCCTACACATATATATCATCCATTAAAACATTGCTGTGACGTCATGCCTTTGTTCTTGCAGTCTAAAAATTTACCTGTAGCCGTCCGATAAATATATATTACCAGTCTGATAATTTATTATCGGACGGCAATGATAACACAATCAGACGGTATTTAAAAAACAAAAAGAAGAGTGAAATTGAGATTAAATATGTCCAGAACCCCAAATAAAAATGTTAGGAAAAAATCAGGGAAAGCAAAGCAAGGAATTTAAGTTACTACAAAATAGCAAATCCATGAGAAAAAAAGCACACAAGCAACGATTTCAAAAAAATTTTGATACAGCACTTTGAATAAGCGAATTTAAAATTTCTTAAAGTTTTAAACTTCCACAACATTAATACTTGTCCAATCTTTAAAAGAAATTTTGATACAGCACTTTGAATAAGCGAATTTAAATCCATCAAAAACAGTCTGCAAGTTTGCCTTTTTATAAAATTGTTTTCAAAAAACTATGGCCACACTTATAAAACCTGAGAATATTTCCATTATCACTTTTTAACTAAAACTTCAGGGTAAAAATCCGCATTTTTACTTTCCATGGTGATAATTTATAATATGCCCAAAATTATGTCAGTATCAATGTCAATTTATGCACATCATAAATAAAAACCCCCCCCTTCAAATAAAAAAGAAAAAAATCTTTCATAACACTGTCCTGCTAAACTAAAGGACAGCCATTGAATGAATAAAATGAAACAAGAGTTCACTTACTTTTGAATAGTCTGCTCTCTGTAGCAGCTACTTTCCTTCAATGTCCAAAAAACATGATGCTGTCAGTGGTGTATATGACACCCATTCAGTTCTTTTTATTCATATCACTAGATGTTTCACTAACTCGTCCAACACAAATATATCCTCCATAACTTATACTCATATGCTACATTTAAAGTGGAGTATTAATTTATTCTTTAAATTGATATCAGCTCAGACTTCTATGCTCTCTTCCACTATACTCATATGTCAATTATTATATGCTGCTTCAAGTGGTTTACTATATTCCTTGTTGATTGATATCAGGTCAGGCTTCTAGTAGCTCTTTCATACACTCATATGTCCACTCCCACATGCTGCTTCAGTGGTGTATTTTACCCACCTTGTGATTAATATCAGCTCCAGCTTCTATTAGCTCTTTCACTACACTTCATATGTCCACTATCATATGCTGCTGTCAGTGGTGTATGAAACTCACCTTCCTGATTGATATCAGCTCCGGCTTCTATAAGCTCCTTCACTACACTCATATGTCCACCTTCACATGCTGCTATCAATGGTGTATTAAAAATGCATTAAAAAATGAAATGAAATCGAATTTTTTACTATTACAATCACTGATTTGACAAAATTCAAAGAGAAAATAAATCTGTATGTTTCAAAATTCCTTGTGATTCTAATACCAGTTATAGCGTTATTGGCATTATCTGCTGCCGTGATAAACTATATATACATGTATGGTGTATTAATTCACTATAAAGCACCTGACAGGTTTTTTTTTTCGGTATTATATCAGCTGCCATATAAACTATATATACATGTATGTCCACCCTCACTGCTGCTGTAAGTGGTGTATGCACCCACCTTGAGGATTGATATCAGCTCCGGTCTATAAGCTTTTCACTACACTCATATGTCCAACATGCTGCTGTAGTGGTTTAAAATATATTCAAGGATTGATATCAGCTCCGGCTTCTATAAGCTCCTTCACTCATCAAATGAAAATCATATGCCAGATTCACCTTACATGCTGCTGTCAGTGGTGTAACATTCATTCACCTGTGTTATTATAATATTTTCAGCTCACGGCTTCATATTGAACTTGTTTTAAAGCTGTAAAACAAAAAATGTCCACCCGTACACTGGTGTATGATATACTACCTTGTTGATTGATATCAGCTCCGGCTTCTATAAGCTCCTACACTACACTCAGATGTCCACCCTCACATCCTTCAATCAGTGGTGTATATTACTTAAATTGTTGATTGATATCAGCTCTGGCTTCTATAAGCTCCTTCACTCAATTCATAAGACCACCCTCACATACTGCTGTCAGTGGTGTATGAACCTCACCTTGTGGATTGATATCAGCTCCGGCTTCTAAGCTCCTTCACTACCTCATATGTCCACCCTTATTGCTGCTGTCAGTGGTTTAAAATACCCACCTTGTGGATTGATATCAGCTCCTGCTTCTATTAGCTCCATCACTTAACTTATATGTCCACCAACACATGCTGCTGTCAGTGGTGTATGAACCTCACCTTGTTGATTGATATCAGCTCCGGCTTCTATGAGTTCCTTCACTTTCATATGTCCACCTCACATGCTGCTGTCAGTGGTGTATGAAACATTACCTTGTTGATTGATATCAGCTCCTAGAAGCTCCTATAAGCTCTTTCCAACACAAATATGTCCACCCTCACGTGCTGCTGTCAGTGGTGTATCATACCCACATTGAGGATTGATATCAGCTCCGGCTTCTATAAGCTCCTTCACTAAACTCATAAGTCCACCCTGACATGCTGCTGTCAGTGGTGTATTGTCTCCAGCTTGCTGATCGATATCAGCTCCGGCTTCTATAAGCTCTTTCACTACACTCATATGTCCACATCTACATGCTGCTGTCAGTGATGTATGAAATGTACCTTGTGGATTGATATCAGCTCCGGCTTCTATTAGCTCCTTCACTACACTCATATGTCCACCCTTACATGCTGCTGTCAGTGGTGTATCATACTCACCTTGTTGATTGATATCAGCTCCGGCTTCTATAAGCTCATTCACTACACTCATATGTCCACCCTCACATGCTGCTATCAGTAGTGTATTATACTTACCTTGTTGACTGATATCAGCTCCGGCTTCTATAAGCTCATTCACTACACTCATATGTCCACCCTTACATGCTGCTATCAGTGGTGTATTATACCCACATTGTGGATTGATATCAGCTCCGGCTTCTATAAGCTCCTTCACTACACTCATATGTCCACCCTCACATGCTGCTGTCAGTGGTGTATCATACTTACCTTGTTGATTGATATCTGCTCCGGCTTTTATAAACTCCTTCACTAAACTCTTATGTCCACCCATACATGCTGCTGTAGTGGTGTATGAACTTATACACTTTGTAGATTGATATCAGCTCCCGCTTCTAGTAACTCCTTCACTAAACTCACATGTCCACCCTCACGTGCTGCTGTCAGTGGTGTATGAACCTCACCTTGTTGATTGATATCAGCTCCGGCTCCTATAAGCTCCTTCACTACACTCATATGTCCACCCTCACAAGCTGCTGTTAGTGGTGTATCATACCCACCTTGAGGATTGATATCAGCTCCGGCTTCTATAAGCTCCTTCACTACACTCATATGTCCTCCCTTACATGCTGCTGTCAGTGGTGTATGAACCTCACCTTGTGGATTGATATCAGCTCCGGCTTCTATGAGCTTCTTCACTACACTCATATGTCCACCTCTACATGCTGCTGTCAGTGGTGTATGAAACTCACCTTGTTGATTGATATCAGCTCCGGCTTCTATAAGCTCCTTCACTACACTCATATGTCCACCCTCACATGCTTCAATCAGTGGTGTATTTTACTTAAATTGTTGATTGATATCAGCTCTGGCTTCTATAAGCTCCTTCACTCAATTCATAAGACCACCCTCACATACTGCTGTCAGTGGTGTATGAACCTCACCTTGTGGATTGATATCAGCTCCGGCTTCTATGAGCTCCTTCACTACAATCATATGTCCACCCTTATATGCTGCTGTCAGTGGTTTAAAATACCCACCTTGTGGATTGATATCAGCTCCTGCTTCTATTAGCTCCATCACTTAACTTATATGTCCACCAACACATGCTGCTGTCAGTGGTGTATGAACCTCACCTTGTTGATTGATATCAGCTCCGGCTTCTATGAGTTCCTTCACTACACTCATATGTCCACGCTCACATGCTGCTGTCAGTGGTGTATGAAACTTACCTTGTTGATTGATATCAGCTCCGGCTTCTATAAGCTCTTTCACTACACTCATATGTCCACCCTCACGTGCTGCTGTCAGTGGTGTATCATACCCACATTGAGGATTGATATCAGCTCCGGCTTCTATAAGCTCCTTCACTAAACTCATAAGTCCACCCTGACATGCTGCTGTCAGTGGTGTATTATACGCACCTTGAGGATTGATATCAGCTCCGGCTTCTATAAGCTCCTTCACTAAACTCATATGTCCACCCTAACATGCTGCTGTCAATGGTGTTTCATACTCACCTTTTCGATTGATATCAGCTCCGGCTTCTATGAGCTCCTTCACTACATCCATATGTCCACCTCTACATGCTGCTGTCAGTGGTGTATGAACCTTACCTTGTTGATTGATATCAGCTCCGGCTTCTATAAGCTCCTTAACTACACTCATAAGTCCACCCTCACATGCTGCTATCAGTGGTGTATCAAACTCATCTTGTTCATTGATATCAGCTCCGGCTTAAATAAGCTCTTTCACTACACTCATATGTCCACCCTTACATGCTGCTGTCAGTTGTGTATCAGCAAACAAATATTTGGTTTTTTTGTTTGTCATTTTTATATCGACAAACTTGATTAAAATATTTACAGTTTCCAAATCACCACTGTAACAACTCAATACAAATAAGCGGTCATGTTCAAAATTGGACCGACTATTTTCCTGTTTTTGATTTGTTGTATCACATATGGAGTTAAATAAAGATAATTTGACTGTTGCAATATATTTTTCAGTGTTATTTTCTCCTTTTTTTGTTTCATATATTAACCTTGGGCTAAAGGAATTCCAAAATAGTTCAATCTTTGTTTCGTTGTGTAATTCAATTTGTTTCAAAATATATTTTAGGATCTGATTGTGTCCGTAGTAAACTACCCAACTGATAACCCTCACACTGTAATTTATTTCTCTATTATCAATCCTCTCATTCACCAGCACCGCCTGTCTGCTCCATTCTCTGCTCCTCTCATCCAACCTCTCAATCTTCTCCCTCACACGCTTTCCTTTACTCACAACCTTAGATGCATCTTTCTGTTCTGACAAGAATAAAGCCTTTAACTCAGTGTAGGACTTTGTCTCTAACACCCCAATAAAAGCATGACACACCTTCGGATGTTTCAAAATATTATTCATAAAAACATCATACAGCTCCATATTCTCTATATCTCTGTAAAAACGCTCTGCTAACATTGGATATTGATCCTCTTTTAACGTAAGAACGAGATCAAACAAATCCTGGCTTCTTTTACTACTTATTGATTCATGCTCCTCACCAATAAACACTTCATTTACAACTTGTTTAAATTCAACCTCCGACTCTCCTTCACATTCTTGTACTTTCACATTATTAGCAATGAAACCACAGATAATATATTGCAAAAGAAGATCTGGAAACTGAGAACCAAAATGATATGAAAGAATTTCAAATACAGAGTCATGAATAATAGTGTACTCAGTACCACAGAGTTTTGTGTAAGTCCCATCCATAGCTGCCAATGCTTTTACAAATCTAAATGCATCAGTGTTACTTTCAACTTCACAATATTCTAATACTTTTGATTTCATCTCCAAGAAAACAACGTTTCCAGTGCTGTTCAATATTTCTTTTGATAGTTTATTGTCATTTAACATGCACAAGACCAATGTAGCATAGCATAAACTATTTTGCACTTGCATTTTATCAAATTCTTCTAATATACATTCAGCTGGACGGGTAAAAAACCTTTCAACATTCTTTCTAAATTTCTTCACTTTTGAATATAGTTTACACAACAGAGGAAATAAACCCAATGTTTCTGCCAGTAATATAGGGGACAACAAATCTCTATCCAAGTCGTGTTTCTCAAGGATCGCTTTCTTATCTTCATCGTTCAATGCATTTTTGCAGCTATGCATCTTAATTGTGTTTTTTTCATGTGAGAAAAATGATTTGTAACATTCATTAAAAACTGCTTCCCTACATGACATTAATATCTTTGTATTTCTATTGGAAGGATTTGAAATTCTTTTTTCATAGTCTATCAATGACTCTAACTTTTGTTTTTGCAGACCTAAAACACCTACCACATCATCAATGACAAAAACCTGTGGATGACGCGAGTCAGAATAATCTTCAATCTTCCCGATATCTGTAATCGGTACAACCTCGTATCCTTCTCTCTGGAGCATCAGGGCTAAGTGATGAATAGTCGCCGATTTTCCTGATCCTGGGACACCAACAAATGTCATGTAAGATTGCTTTCTGACTTGATCCAACATTGCAGAAAAACTGTGGCTTTCACTGTAAACCCCATCTTCCTCTTTCCATCGTGTGAGATCTTTTTCAAAAATGTCTATAATGAATTGATATAGCGAGTTATTTTATAATTTTTTCAACTTGTCAATAATGTAATTACCTGGCTTACATAGTAATAAAACGTTTAACACAGAAAAAATAAGCAAATGCCTAACAAAGTATGGTGTACATGATACTACATGCTTGTGGTTATTTTAAGAAAGATAAATTTGCAGGATCGAATTTGAAGAAATGCTGTAATTTATGGATTTCTGAAGAATTTAAAAAGTTTAAAGAAGTATATAAGGTAAGGGCCATTTAAGGCCCCCACTCAGAAAATGTTTATCTTTACTATGGAGAGGGATAAGGCAAGGATGTTACTAAAAATATATAATTAAATTTAATCTGGCGTTCCGTTGCCATGGAAACCGTCGTCAAAATCATACACCTTCAGACCTCTAAATCTGACATCTAATGCCATCTATTTTTATTTAACCGATCTTTAATCTTGATACCAACTATATTGTCTAAAGATAATGATAGTATGTATACTTTGGGATATGTCAAAGTGACTATTTTACTAAGAAAATATATTTTAAATTTAATAGGTATTCCGTTACCATGGAAACTGTATTCAAACTTATTCCTTTTTATCTGAAATTACGGCTTTATTGACAATTAAGAAATCTGTGATTTTGGTAGCATATATTAAATATTAAAAATCTGTTTTTAGCATATAGGTCACAGTCAAGTTCACAAGGTCTTTGACCTTAGTGTCATTTGAAAACACTTAACTAGTGAAGTATGCATACCAAATATAAAGTCTATCTCCTATGGTTCAAAAGTTGGAGCGAAAGTTCGAAAAATTTTTTTTAGCATTTAGGTCACAGTCAAGGTCACAATGTCATTGACCTTGGTGTCAGTTGAAAGTGTTTAATAATTAGTGGAGTATGCATTCTAAATATGAAGTCTCTATCTCGAATGGTTCAAAAGTAATTGCAAAGGTTAAAGTTGACAAATGACAGACAAACAGTAAAAACAGACAGAAAAACAGCTAAACACACAAACAGACAGACAGGACAAAACTAATATACGCCCATAATAAATTCAGACGCATAAATATTTAACATTTTAACAAATACTTGGTATTGAGGGACGTAGTTGTTGACAGGAATCAACTTTTCTCTCTTACAATAAGTCTGTCCGTTAATGCAGTCCTTTCCGATAATAACCTTGTAACTTAGAAAAACTAGAAGTTTATATTCTAGTACATGTATACATTATGATTTATGATTTGATTAAATCTCTAATTCAAAGTCTTGTCTAAAATTGTTATACCATAATTATTTATAAAATTCAAATCACTGGCAGATGAAAATATGAAAAATGCTATTAATTGGATTTTATCATTTATCATTTTACGGAGGAATTCACAAAAAAAAAACATCTGTATCATTCAGCATGATTTTTCAATATGAACATTAAAATTTTGCATAGCATGATCATATTTGAAGTGCAGAAATAAGTAGTGAAACAACATATAAACGAAGGCTTTTATGCATAAAATTATAACACAAGCCAATCCATTGTTAATCTTCATGAAATCGAAAAATCTGACAGTTATTCCTTATATTTACATGCTTTAATTCCACCAATCCACGGGCTCCAAGCCTGCTTCTCTCTAGGTGTTGTCCCGCCCTGCACGTGGTTTTTTTGGAACCGCGCCAAAACATTCATGAGGAAATCAATTACATTTACAATTGGTAATTTTATCTCGGACAAAGACATTGGAAATGTAAATATTTAGGCCTATTTATTTTTTTTATTTTGTACATATAAATTATGCAATAAAATTAAATCATAGGAATATTAATATTATTTTTGTTGTCTAGTTGTACTAAATATTTATAGAAAAAAAAACATTATTATTATTTTTTTTTTTTTGGTTTTATTGAAATTACCAATGCCCCGAACTTCTTAGGATAACGTTGAATTTATTACACGTCTGGGTGGCCGTACATTTGTTGCCTTGTAAACAGGTAAACAATGAACGATACGGGAAGAAATGACAAGAAGTAGATATAGAAATATGAACACACACAATGAACGTATTTTAACATGATCAAATAATTTTATAAAATGTATACTGTGTATATATTTCTTCTGTGAACTGATTTAATGTACAGTCGAGCGATTCGAAGGTCAAACTCGATCATCGTGTTTCTTGAGATCCACACCCGCACATTCACACATCAACAGATCAATGTTGATACCCATAAAATATATTCTTTAATCACAAATATGTTTCAGAAAAAGATATTTCTAGAACTTTACGTTGGAAAATATACATGAAGCAATCGATAGATGATGCTACCTTCGATAAAAAAAAAAATTCAACACATGTCAACAACGTCGTCGTCATTCTCCGTACATGCTTGTGACGTCATGCGAGTCAGAAAGTGCTATTTTTCTCAAGGGTTTTTAATTTTTTAAGTGTGAGCGACTTTATGAACAAGATTGATTTTTTAAATGAAGACTTTTTTTGAAAATATCTTTTACGTGTGTAAATATCTTTCTTGTTCAAGGCGTCGCACATACCTAAAATCGCCGATAACGATGCTAAAAATGCCATTTTTAGGCGTTTTTTTGTAAACTTAGTCACTTTAAACCTTCAATTCTCTTCATATTACTTAAATCAACATATCAATTTAACTATAAAAGAAAAGTATAAATTCTAATCTTTCAAAAAATATCAATATCATTGAGGTTTACTGGCGTTTAAATTGTAACAAAAACGGGGGCCAAACTATTATAGAAACCCTATATAGTTCTTTGAAAATCAATTATAATTCAACCATCGATTACATATCACCTAAATTCATAAAACTTTTTAATTTCAATTGAAAAGCCAATTTACATGTTGAAAATATCCATGTTTTCATTTTCACCTGCTTTCATCTAAATTACATCTTTAAAGAATTTTTCGATCTGAATTATGATATATTTGTTTAAAAATGTAACCTTATTGTGAATCCATTGATGTATAATTCATAACATGAATAAAATAATTTGAAGTCACAAATTTTAAACTTTAAAATCTGAAATGCATTCCTCCTACAGTTTAAAAAGGCTTGGTATTGATTCTATATTAGGAAAATAGATTGTTTTGAAAGCAAAACAAAAAGTTATCAGTATTCATTTAACAAAATGAGGTAAATAAGGACCACTTCAAAATTAACAATTTTTAATAAAAATTCTTGCATCAAAATTATTTTTTCTTGAATTTTCAAGAATGTTAATAAATACATAATTTTGGTACATTTTTTAATATCTAAACTTTTCAATTCAGTGACAAATTATGGTCGTTTGTTGTTTAACGTATTTCTTTTGAATTTTTCACTCATTTCGTGACGCATCCACTTGTCGGTGGATTGCTGCAAATTAAAACTTATATACTCGGCACCAGGGCCTTTTAAGCAGTGAGGAATCTTTATCGAGCGGTTGAAAAAGTCTCATCAGACAATTCTCTATGTCCCGTGGTGGATTTGAACCCAGGACATAAGGATCAGCTTTTTACGCCGTGACTCTACAGCAGACACTCTAACCACTGAGTCATGCGGGCGACTGAGACTAATAATGTTAATCATCAAGAAAAAAATTAATTCTTTTACTAATACAAAAGCAAAAAATGTAGATTTTATAATTTCTTATTTCTTGCACAATTCTGAAGGAAAGAAATATATAATTCATTCTGATTATGTATTTCAGAACGTTTATTTCCACCATGGAAATATAAACACTAATGTATTTACAGTTCAATCCACTTTTTAAAATCACTAAGGTTTTCTCACAAATTAAGGTCACATTGTTATAATGCAACATTGTGTTATGTAACAACAAAAAATGTTTCAGAAATTATTTATAACTTAATTTTGATTATATCCTGTTACTTTAAACATAGTAGGATGTTTATACACTCATCAATGATATTTTATGAGAGTTTCCGAATGTTTTTTTTTTCATGGTATCTAATCAAATGCAACCATCTTTGTATTTGTTCATGTTAAAGCATAGTTTTCCCTTGTCTTAATAGAAAAACAATGCAAACATGTACATTCTATTTTCTGTACATCCTTTTACATGATTTCTTTACGCAGTTTTGTCTTTTTTTGGCGCTGCATTTCGACAAAACCAAGGCAAGTATGGAAAATGTGCAAAATATCTGCAAGAAGTCAATTTGAACATTTCAACCAAATAGTATCAAAAAGTTCTTTTAATTAATTTATAAGTACCTATGATAGAATCATACACATTTAACATAATACAATTTATAAAAAAAAAATTCACAAACATTGACTTTTAGAACTTAAAATAATGATTGTAGAGACTATGCACCTTTAAAATAAAATTTTGGATGATATAACGGTTGTGTCGCATACTGAAACTCGATAATTTTAAGTTTTATTGCAAGAAAAATGTTACTTTAATTTGTGAAAGAAAAATGTGAGTTTAAAAAGTGTGTTACGCCGTACAGTATAAAGTTTTAAGTGAAAAGGGTCATGGTTAATGAATTTTTTGTTTTAATTTCACCAACATACCTCTAACGTTCGGAGGGATTACAGACTTTGGTGTTTTGATTTTATCTGAAAAAAAAAACAAAAATAAGAATTTATGGACAGCATTTTTATGAAAATTACTTTTTTTATTTATTTTATTTTAAAAGTTATATTATAACAGGTTTGGGGCTAAATTGTGTCACTGGTCCAACAAAATACATGTTGCCATTGAACCAAATTCAATAAATATACAGGGACAATTACAAATGCGTATCTCCTATATGTATTTTGTAGGGGTCGGAGGAGGTACTGTAGAGGCAGAAATATTTGTGGGGATACAATTTCGTTTATTTCGTCCTTAACAATCACCACACGAATTTTTTATAGGACTATATTTTGCATTTGTTTAATTTCGAAACAAGGACATTTGATATACACGAAATATTTGTAGATGACAAATAAATGAAATTTTATGCCCACAAAAATTTATGAAATTTTAATCTTAAGCATAGGACTGAGAGTTTCCACATACTTCACTCCAATTAAATTGCAGCAGATGGATCTAATACATCACTCATAACATCTCTCTATAAAGTACGAAAATGTGAGCGTGGAACTTTTTTCCAGATTTGTCTTCTTATTACAAACATTTTTTTTTCAAGAATACGATAAAATTCAGAATGCCACTACCCCAAAGCCGATGTGAGCAGACCCGAGCGAATGGAATGATATCTTATGCTCAACCTCTTTAGTACCGCAAAACAACTATCACTCCTCCATGACACCTGATCCCATCTCTGATGTCTTAGAGGACATCGGATGCTCTTCTCCTATTTTGTACTTTTTGATTGACTTTTGGTCTAGAATACTATACAATTATTGTTGATTTTTAGGTCAATACAATGATTTAGCCATTTGAGGAGTTCAGTATTCACCGAGCCCAAAGAGCGATGTGAATATTGTACTTCAAAAATGGTTAAATCATTGCATTGACCAAAAAAATAGAAATAAGTGTTTTATTAAATGATTCATTGATAAAATGATAAAGCTCATTACTTGTTTGAATTTAATTGAGTCCAAGCCAAATACAAGAGAGAAGCAGAATTAAAATATAAATAAACCTTACCAATCGTATCAGTTTGAAATGTTTTTATCAATTGTAATTGCCATGAAAAAAAATATATGTCAGTCTGTTTTACAAAATTGATTTTGAAAGGAAGGAGTATTAGCAGGGAAAATGACTGCCAAAAGGTTAATATTGTTGTTCAGTAAAAAAGTTGGAGAGGTGGGGGTTAGTCCCTGCATCCCCTCTTACCACCCGCACCTGAAAATGTGTAGCCGTTTATGTTTTGTTCACGTGAAAACAAGTCATAGTCGTTTAAAAAGCTTTCCAAAACAATTTGTATTAATTGGAAATTTCCCAGACTATTTTTAGATCAATGTAAAGAAAATAAATCCTTGGAACTTCACGTGCAGGTCAATACAACGTAGTTTTCTAACATTATTTGATCTCAGCCACTAAGAGAGATAGAAATTATTCAGTCATATAATAATGTTCGTTATCTCTATATGTTTCATCAGTTGCTTTAATACCCAAACCAATTTATTGGTTTTTTTATCATACACAAGAAAGATGACTTTGACAAATTAGCTTAAAAAATATAAATATATTCAAGTTCAAATTGGAAGTATTAAAGTCTATATGAAAATTATCAAATGTCAACCAAACCTGAGTTATATGGTTTAATTATCAAAGATTCAAATTTTGACATCATTAGAATTAAAAATAAATTTGATTTGAAAGATATTTCTATTCAAAGCATGTCAAAAAATCTTAAGTTTTACCTCTGAAAATGGAATCCATCTTTTCTTTAATATAAATGTACTTACCAAAGATTTTTAGCATTTTATTGTGATTTTCAATTCTGTCTATCTCACTCTCTTCTAATTTTCCTGGAAGAAAAAAAATTAAGCCAGCATTAATTGCAGAAACATATACAAATAGTGTTTTATAAAAGATTTATTCATAACTTTAATGACAGAATTCTTCGTGTTAATTACGTTTCAGGCCTTGGACTATTTTCCTAGTTTCTGCATCTTCTTCAGCCTGTTTCCTCAGTTGTTCTATGTAATGGCAGTCACGGATAGGGTCCATTGTCTCATGTCTCAAAAAATCCACCTCTTTTTCAAACTGGTTCCCGTTATTAAGGAAAGAATCAACATCCACAACTGCTGATCTTACAGTGGACCAGATTGAGTTGAAATCAACATTGGCGAGGACAGGACTAGAAGAATGAACACACTGATTTCTGGCAATGCGGATTCTCTCAATGTTAGCAGAGAGAGATCGATCTGTAGGGTCTGGAACATAGCCCCATCCATTGCTGTGTGTTGGTATTCCACAAATGTTTCTAAGTAGTATGTACAATAAGGAAATGTCCATATCATCATATTTTCCTGTATAATTACTACCTCTCGGTAAAATAAAATTCATCTGTTGAGCTGTCAGACGGGGAAGATAACTTCTTTTTTGTTTAATGACGTGTGGAAATGTTGATGGTGGTACATGATGAACTAAAACATCCCGCAGTTGATCTGTACATGGACCCAGGAGAAGCCTGCAGGCTCTACAAGCATTTGTGGTCTCCTCTGTAGAGGCGTAACATGAGGAGGCCATAACATCAATTTGGTGCTTTTCTGAAATGTAACAACCCCCCATTTTAATACTAATAACTACTTTAATTACTTTAATAATAATTGAAAAAAATCAGAACTATCTTCATAGAACCTCACATTGCTTATCAACTAGGGTAACTAGGAAAAATGCTCAAATTAGAATACTTTTCAATGATTACAGTCTCCTTGCTAGAGTACCATACTGCAAATTTAATGTCAAGTCATAAATTTATGCATGTTCAGTTTTTTATGTTTTGTGTTTAATAGAAAAGATAAGACTACATCAAGTTAAGAATTAAAATAGTTTGTGCAAAGGAACATGTGACTTTGTAGTTCACTGTTGTGTTACTTTTTGTACACATTGACAGACCCACACGTCATATGTAACCTCAAATTTCTCCTCCAATAACAAAAGTATTTTTTTTTCAGAAATATATTTTTAAAGAGTTATAAAATTAACGTTTTTTTTACTCAGTGACTTGATCTAATGACTTAAAGTCAGGGTCATATTATATTCTAGTAAAGAATCACCACATGTTGTTGTAAAAGAATTATCTTCTTAAGTTATTGCATCTTTTTATTATGGAAACTCTGATTGGAAGTTATGTTTCGAATATTCTTTTGTTTTGATAAGTGAAAGATATGTTTTTATTTTTTATGCTTAAATTACCTTAGGCTAGTGTCAGAGTTTTTAGTTGTTGTAGCCTTGCATCCAGTTAATATGTATTTTCTTGTAGTTATGGATAGAATTTAATAACATTGAACCCGGTATCCTTGACAAAAATTACTTTAGAGTTGGTTCAGTGCATGCTTTTGAACATAACTTAAAATGTTTTATTCGGAAGGAACCTCTTAAGTTTTAAAATATGATAACCAGACAAGAATTTCATTTCCGTTTTGCCTGTCAAAGAAGTTATGTAGAATGCATCCTTTACAAGCTTGATAACTAATTCATAATTTCATTTTCATTAATCAGTCATCATTTTAATTTCATATTTTTATTCTGAAAATGCCAATTTAATTGATGTACCGAAAGTTTTACTACCACTTTAAACCGGTTCCAGGGTCCGTAGAATCGGAAAAATTAATACGAAAGGACTAAATGCGGTATATTGCATATATTTGCCCCCACAAAAGTCAAATTTTGAAATATTCCGGAATTGTGCTGAATTCCATAAATTGAATTAAAAAATGAATTAACAGAACATATTATAATTTCAAAGAAGTAATTGACTATTTTTGTTTTTATGACGTTACAAACTCGTCCGATTTTATATCATTTGTGAGAAAAAGGACAAAATGGACGAAATTTCAGCAATTTAAGCTATAGAATTTATAGAGCGCAAGTTTGTTCAGGAACGATATTGACATATTTCATTCATTGATATTATAATTCTACACAATATATCAAAATATTGATCCTGAACACACATGCGCTCGGTGATTTTTTCTCAAAATAACGATGTAAAATATCTATTTTCTGTAGAAATAATTGAAATTTTAAATTTACGTCATTTTCGTGATGTCATTTGAAACATATGACGTCATTGCTGATGAAAATACTCAGTGCTTTGAAGTCAGCATATATCCCTCTGTGTTAGAACATAATTTTAAAAAATCCGTCTACGTTTAATTTGGGGGGCAAAAGTTGGTTATTACCGAATAAAGTTCTTTGTTGAAATCGGGGAAATCATCATACTATATAAGGATGTTTCCAATTAATAAACTATAAAGAATTTCTAAAAGAGTTTGCGTAACAATACATAGTACAATTATTTTCAATCGATTATAAAGACTGCTTGTTGCCAGCGTTTTTTCTTTTTCAAAATTGGAAGTAATTTATATCCTCCAGACGTGAATCACCATTGTTTTTCGAAAACGAAAGTAGATTTGAAAACAATATCTAATTAAGATTCACATTGTTATTGGAGCTTATATTACACCTAACGTCATTTTGAATCCTCTTGCTGACAGCAACATTTATTTATTCATAAATGTATGTATTTGATGTGTCTGTACCTTTAAGCGCCTGTGCTTGAAAACGAAAGTTCGCCACTATTCTCTTTGTTTCGGCCCCTTTGTTTTTTGATACATAAAGGCTTACCTGATATTCTTTGATACTCTAAGATTTTTTAAATGATGAAAATGCAGATATGTGTAGGCTATATTCCGAGGTTAAATCCTAAGACACATCAACCAAAGGTTCATTTAACTTCTCTGGGATCATGGGGATTTCCATTTTTCAACGCAAGACCTTCGCGGTTGCAAGTGATTTCGGCCTTCGAATAATTCATCCTTTCTTTATGTTACTGTTGCATTAATATTTAAACATATAAATGAATACAATTTATAATGTATTAATAAATGATAGTGAGTTAAGGAAAGTCAATGACCCCCTAAATGAATGAGTTACCGTATCTCACAGTACTTGGTGTGTCCGTATTCTGCAAGGTCTGGAGGGTAACTATTAAAAAAATACTGTTTACATTCTATATATATACATTAAAAGGATCCCGATCATAAATATAGTGTTCATCACTATGATTCTTCCCCCCTCATATTTGCAAAATGATAAAAATATATCTTTATTTTAAAAATGTTTAAAGGAAAATATTGCGAAGTCGGTGAAAAAATTCTGCCCTATGAATTTTTCTATTTCTCTTTTACATATAATGTGCCTTATGTTTATGATACCATTATATCAACCATGGTCATCAGGGTTTTAACGAAGTTATATTATTGTTGTCATGGTAACCACCATTTTTTGATATTTATGAGGTGAATGTTTTATTATGTCATACACGCAACAAAATTAAGATAAATAATTTTCCTACAGAAATTTAATAACATGCTTTATATTTATTGAAAATCAAATTGTTTCGCAAAGTTTTGATAAATATAATACTGCCATTGTATTCTGGGGAAGAATTAATTGTAAATTTGCAGTAATATTTTCACCCCAATAGCAGTTTTGAACGTCTAGACAAAGAATTACCCAATTAATTTTCACAAAAGTAATATGTATTGAACTGGAAAAGGATATCCGGTGTATAGATGAGATGAGTCCGTATTTTGGATGAAGATAGGTTTATTCAATACGCCAGTTTCGAGATAGGAGCTCTTTTATTTTAAAGGCGCGAATAACCCTCCAGTTGACACGGAGGTGGGACACTTTTGTAAACAGAACTCTATATATATAGACATGTCGTTAAACGTTGATTCAATGCTGAAACCTCAGCTGAAATTATTTCTAATTGAACGTGGAATGAGTGTAAGTGACTATAATGTGTTTCAACTTCGTGAATTAGCCAAAAAAGCTATAAAATTAAAATTGTCCATCTTGAAAACCCCCGATGACGCTCTTGACTACCTGCGCCAGCAAAGCCGTATTATTATTGACGATGAGGTTGTTCAGTTTCCATTTGTTACATCCAACGAATTAAAAAATGGACTGATAATTTGAAAAATATCCCTGCATTTTTTCAAGCAGATGAATTTGTTTATTTACTGTTCAAGTCTGATGCGTGGTCCCCCATTCGTCTCCAAAATTACAAGTGTGAACATGGTTACACACTGTATCAATCTAATCATATTCACTCCGTCCAGTGTCATGACTTGACTCATAACCATCTATATGTGAAATCATTATGCATTAGAGAGACTTCCCAGTCAGCTGATCCCTACAGGACATGGTGCCTCTTGAATTGTACTGATGGCAGTTGCACATCTGCTGGGTGTGATTGCACTGGGTAAATTATGATTAAAACAAAATTATTTTTTAAACTTTCATAAACATTATTAAAACTACAAGCAGTGCTATTATTGTGCAAAGAAAAAACCCTTAAATCTGGAGATAATAATTTATTATTGTCACAGCTGTTGACTGATCAAATAAAATAAATATATCTATTCAACTTGGCAATGAATTCAAATATCAACATATTTAACAATAATAATAATTTTTAATTGTCAGATCAATACATATATATACAATAAAAAAGTAATTGCACCAATTATGAGGAATCACTGTAAATATTCATGGAAAAAATATAAAGGATTTAAAGAATAACTGTAATAGCTAGTACAGAAAATATTTGCAGCGTCAAACATCTTTATGTTGAGTTACATATATTTTAGAGATGATGGTGGATGTAAACATGTTGTGGCCCTATTATTCAGTTCGGCAATGTGGTCTGAGAGGCATACGGATAGAAACACAGAAACATGTACTGACAAAAAATGTGCCTGGGATGTTCCTCGTAAAGAATCAAATCCCAAACTGTTGGATGAAATTGAACAATCAACTGAAAAATATCGCATTTATCCATTTGAACATTGCTTTGACCCTACTACCATAAGTCAAAACAATTGTGATGTTGACAATATGCTTTTAGATTTAGTGAAAGATTCTGACACACAAATTATTGAAGTACTTGATTTATCTATTAAAGATTATAATGAACCAAATATGCCCAAAACTTTGAAACAGTGTATTTCAAACTTTGACCCTAATGGGTATTTATCAGTTTTTGACTATTTATCTACATGCATTGGGGAAAAAGACTGTAATGAAATTTACAAGCTTACGGACCAACAATCAGACTCAGTCTTTTGATATAAATATAGATTGGGGAGAATTACTTCTTCTGTATTACACAATGCTTGTAATTATAAAGGAAATGACCCTAATAACTACATTGTAAAACAAATATTGAGCACTAATAGTACATCATTTTCAACCCCTGCTACTATCTATGGGAAGGAAAGAGAAGTTTTAGCAAGAAATTTATTTGAAAAACAGTATGTTGCCAAACATCAAGGTGGAAAAGTTAAAAATTCTGGTCTTATTATTGATTCCAGTAGACCTCATCTTGGTGCTTCACCAGATGGAATTGTACAGTGTCGATGTTGTGGAACAGGTATTCTTGAAATTAAATGTCCATACAAATTTAGAAATTACACTTTAGATAAGATTTTTGATGAAAAGTATCATACTAAAATGGATGAAAATGGTTGTATGAAGTTGAAAGAAAACTCAAACTGGTATACTCAAATTCAAACACAAATGGTTTTTGCAAATGTACAGTGGTGCGAGTTTGTTTTGTATTTAGAAGGTGATGTCACCATTGGAAAACACAAAATATACACAGAAAGAATATATTTTGATCCATCCTTTTTGAGTTCATTGTTTGAAAAATCAAAAGTATTTTTTGAAAGATTTTTATTGCCAAAGTTGCAAGAAATCTTATGTCTGCTAATGCTTTGTTTGCATTGTGACTTGTGGTTAGCTTTTGGTTGCAAATATTTCATGCACAATATTATAATATGCTATATTATGAATAGCATTCTCCCTGTGAAATATAAATTGCCATGACAGTATAATATTGTAAAAATAGTTTTACATTAAAAATACTAGAACAAAATATTAATAAATATACCTTGAACATAAACAATATATGTGTTGTATTGATTATAAACCTGGCATAAATAATTAAAGCAAGTCATATATTTTTTTTATTATCAACCATAACTGCATAAAGAAATTAAACATGTGGTGCACTTTTTTTTGTATTTTTCTCAGAAATTTGATTACCTTCTAACTAATGGTGGCATTAAATTGCATAAAAATGCTGCAACTTTTATCATCTGATTCATAATTGGTTTTAAAGACTATGGAATGATATTTCCAAGAAGTCTGAATAATATCAATCTCTGGATGGCTCTTTCAACATGAATTCTAAGCTTGGCAATTTTTCTGGTTTGCTTTATTTCGTTAACATTTAACCGTTTCTTTTTTCCCCAAGAACACTTTCAAGTAAAAGGAGGAATGTTTAATGTAGCTTTTTATTTGTAATTAAATCTCTAATTGTAAACCCACGGTCCGCCATGATATCATCATCTTCTTCAACGAAATCAAAAAATCCAGAATCAAGTGAAATATATATGTCTGATACATTACCACCATAAACCTTTGAAACAAATGTAAAAGTTCCTGAAGGTGATATATCTAGTTGACATTTACCTGTATTCTTAGATTTGTAAGTGCTGTATGTAGCTGCCTGAGATGTGGGTGATCGAGGACGCTGAAAGAAGAACTCTGTACAATCTATAACTGCACTTGTGTTGGAATAATTTTTTCTGAAAGACATTGGCATATATTTTCTGACCTGATTTCTAGTTAGCCATCTTATTAAATACCCCAAAACATTTGACATGAAAGTAATCCATGTTATGAAAATTTATGAAACTCTAGATTTTGAAATTCCAAACACATCTGCAAGGCATAATTCATAAATTCCTAAGAGAAACGAACAAGTGTCAATATAAATTCCTGAAAAAGAGACAGTTTTCTCGTTGGACCAGGTTTCTTGTGTCTCGGGTTTTTCTGGTAATTTTTTTCTTTGGCACTTTTTAGCCAGACCAATACTTCACAGAAGAGCATTTGGAAACAAGTATGTTGAATATTCCTAATAGCAGGGCTAGAGATGGTAAACCAGTATATGATCTAACATTTGCATCATTTTTTGTTATGTTTTCAACAAAAGCATCTCTTAACAGTGATGATTTATCAGCTAATTTAGCTTTCAGATTTTGGTTCTCCTCACTCAACTTTGTAATGTCATTCATGGTCAATTCTGTCTGCACTGATCTGTCTGTGAAAGAAGGTGAACACTGGGGTGTTGCTATGTAGGAGTGATCAGATGAGGGAGGACTTCTCTCAGTATCTTCAAACTTCTTTCCATCAAGTAAAACTAAAAAATACAACCATGTATATATAAAACTTACATAAATTTTTTTCACAGTATTATTAAGTTTAATTCAAATGGCAAGGTATTAAAAATTTTGATATCTATCTTAATAATATATGATCAGAATAAATTTGTACCATAATGATTAGAGTTTGCTTCAGACACCTCTATTTCACCAATGTATGGAATTGAGTTTTCTTCATATATACAGAAGTCATCTGAGGTGTCTGTGGATATGTCACAATGTTCCCTCTCTGGTGCAAATCTATCATTAACAGACTGGTCTGTGTTGCTGGAGTTACAAGTAGTTCTGAAATATAAATTTTATTATTCTAAATAAAATAAATTTATACACTAGACTATACTGGATAAGTGTGGACCTTGCTTTTTAAGAAAACCCCATGTATATTATAAATCATATGAACTTACATGCATAGATTACATGAGGATTGAAACAAAAATTTATTTACTTAATTTTTTTTTCATAAAAGATTGAC